TGTGTGCAGAACTTCCAGGTTAAGATACCTTTAGACGGCGATATACGAAGTTCGTGTCGCGGGCGCTTGCAGGAATTGCTGTTAGACTGACTGCACATAGTGGTACTACTGGCATTGATGCGCTATATCTTAAATTTTCTCGCAATTACTGAGTTTCAAGAACTGTCCTTTTGCCAGCTTGTTGGCCTCATCACAAGCTTCCGAACAAGGTATAGTTTGTGCAGAACTTCCCAGGTTAAGGTACTTTAGACCGCGATATACGAAGTTCGTGTCGCGGGCGCTTGCAGGCATTGCTGTTAGACTGACTGCACATAGGGTACTACTGGCATTGATGCGCTATATCTTAAATTTTCTCAGCAACCACTGAGTTTCAAGACCTGTCCTTTTGCCAGCTTGTTGGCCTTATCACAAGCTTCCGAACAAGGTATAGTTTGTGCAGAACTTCTCAGGTTAAGGTACCTTTAGACCGCGATATACGAAGTTCGTGTCGCGGGCGCTTGCAGGCATTGCTGTTAGACTGACTGCACATAGGGGTACTACTGGCATTGATGCGCTATATCTTAAATTTTCTCCGCAAACCTGGGTTTCAAGACCTGTCCTTTTGCCAGCTTGTGGCCTCATCACAAGCTTCCGAACAAGGTATAGTGTGTGCAGAACTTCCAAGGTTAAGATACCTTTAGACCGCGATATACGAAGTTCGTGTCGCGGGCGCTTGCAGGCATTGCTGTTAGACTGACTGCACATAGGGGTACTACTGGCATTGATGCGCTATATCTTAAATTTTCTCAGCAACCACTGAGTTTCAAGACGTCCTCCTTTGCAGCTTGTTGGCCTCATCACAAGCTTCCGAACAAGGTATAGTTTGTGCAGAACTTCCCAGGTTAAGGTACCTTTAGACCGCGATATACGAAGTTCGTGTCGCGGGCGCTTGCAGGCATTGCTGTTAGACTGACTGCACATAGTGGGTACTACTGGCATTGATGCGCTATATCTTAAATTTTCCAGCAACCACTGAGTTTCAAGACCTGTCTTTTTGCCAGCTTTGGCCTCATCACAAGCTTCCGAACAAGGTATAGTTTGTGCAGAACTTCCCAGGTTAAGGTACCTTTAGACCGCGATATACGAAGTTCGTGTCGCGGGCGCTTGCAGGCATTGCTGTTAGACTGACTGCACATAAGGGTACTACTGGCATTGATGCGCTATATCTTGAATTTTCTCTGCAACCACTGAGTTTCAAAACCTGTCCTTTTGCCAGCTTGTTGGCCTCATCACAAGCTTCCGAACAAGGTATAGTTTGTGCAGAACTTCTCAGGTTAAGGTACCTTTAGACCGCGATAGACGAAGTTCGTGTCGCGGGCGCTTGCAGGCATTGCTGTAAGACTGACTGCACATAGGGGTACTACTGGCATTGATGCGCTATATCTTAAATTTTCTCCTCAACCACTGGGTTTCAAGACCTGTCCTTTTCCAGCTTGTTGGCCTCATCACAAGCTTCCGAACAAGGTATAGTGTGTGCAGAACTTCTAAGGTTAGGATACCTTTAGACCGCGATATACGAAGTTCGTGTCGCGGGCGCTTGCAGGAATTGCTGTTAGACTGACTGCACATAGTGGTACTACTGGCATTGATGCGCTATATCTTAAATTTTCTCAGCAACCACTGAGTTTCAAGACCTGTCCTTTTGCCAGCTTGTTGGCCTCATCACAAGCTTCCGAACAAGGTATAGTTTGTGCAGAACTTCCCAGGTTAAGGTACCTTTAGACCGCGATATACGAAGTTCGTGTCGCGGGCGCTTGCAGGCATTGCTGTTAGACTGACTGCACATAGGGGTACTACTGGCATTGATGCGCTATATCTTAAATTTCTCCGCAAACACTGGTTTCAAAACTTGTCCTTTTGCCAGCTTGTTGGCCTCATCACAAGCTTCCGAACAAGGCATAGTTGTGCAGAACTTCCCAGGTTAAGGTACCTTAGACCGCGATATACGAAGTCGTGTCGCGGGCGCTTGCAGGCATTGCTGTTAGACTGACTGCACATAGGGGTACTACTGGCATTGATGCGCTATATCTTAAATTTTCTGCAATTACTGGGTTTCAAAACCTGTCCTTTTGCCAGCTTGTTGGCCTCATCACAAGCTTCCGAACAAGGTATAGTGTGTGCAGAACTTCCAGGTTAAGGACCTTTAGACCGCGATATACGAAGTTCGTGTCGCGGGCGCTTGCAGGAATTGCTGTTAGACTGACTGCACATAGGGGTACTACTGGCATTGATGCGCTATATCTTGTATTTTCTCCGCAACCACTGAGTTTCAAGACCTGTCCTTTTGCCAGCTTGTTGGCCTCATCACAAGCTTCCGAACAAGGTATAGTGTGTGCAGAACTTCCAAGGTTAAGATACCTTTAGACCGCGATATACGAAGTTCGTGTCGCGGGCACTCGCAGGCATTGCTGTAACTGACTGCACATAGGGGTACTACTGGCATTGATGCGCTATATCTTAAATTTTCTCCGCAACCACTGGTATCAAAACTTGTCCTTTTGCCAGCTTGTTGGCCTCATCACAAGCTTCCGAACAAGGTATAGTGTTGTGTGCAGAACTTCCAAGGTTAAGATACCTTTAGACCGCGATATACGAAGTTCGTGTCGCGGGCGCTTGCAGGCATTGCTGTTAGACTGACTGCACATAGGGGTACTACTGGCATTGATGCGCTATATCTTAAATTTTCTCTGCAATTACTGATTTCAAAACCTGTCCTTTTGCCAGCTTGTTGGCCTCATCACAAGCTTCCGAACAAGGTATAGTGTGTGCAGAACTTCCAGGTTAAGATACCTTTAGACCGCGATATACGAAGTTCGTGTCGCGGGCGCTTGCAGGAATTGCTGTATGTAGACTGACTGCACATAGGGGTACTACTGGCATTGATGCGCTATATCTTGTATTTCTCCGCAACCACTGAGTTTCAAGACCTGTCCTTTTGCCAGCTTGTTGGCCTCATCACAAGCTTCCGAACAAGGTATAGTGTGTGCAGAATTTCCAAGGTTAAGATACCTTTAGACCGCGATATACGAAGTTCGTGTCGCGGGCACTCGCAGGCATTGCTGTTAGACTGACTGCACATAAGGGTACTACTGGCATTGATGCGCTATATCTTAAATTTTCTCCGCAACCACCTGGTATCAAAACCTGTCCTTTTGCCAGCTTGTTGGCCTCATCACAAGCTTCCGAACAGGTATAGTTAGTGCAGAACTTCCAGGTTAAGGTACCTTTAGACCGCGATATACGAAGTTCGTGTCGCGGGCGCTTGCAGGCATTGCTGTTAGACTGACTGCACATAGGGGTACTACTGG